AAGGTGGTGGATGTACATTGAATAAGGGGTGTGTTGTCCTTGGTATGTGTATTATTAGATGGAGGTATATCTGTAACTGAAAACACATATCAGTGAAATGATAAAATTAAAAAAAAAAAAATCCAAGAATACTCTATGTATTCTTTAACCATTGAGTAGGTGGGAAACAACATTGTTGAACATATATATTAAATGAAAAATCAAAGACAACTGTGTGTATTTGCTATACACTGAGTAGGAAAGATAACTGGGAAAAGAGGGTTAAAAACCAAACCGGAGTAAACTTCAATGAACCTGTGAAGATAAGAAACAAAAAAAGCAATCTTCTGCTTTGCCAATAGATAAAGGTTTATAACTAGCATGCCCTTCTAGTGATGACATGGCCCAGCATCATGGCCTGTCTTTCAGATAAATGAAACAAAACCACATGCCCATGTTGAGAATTATGGAGAGTACAATGACTGGAATTATTGGGAGTGAGTAAACAGCTAGATAACAGGCATAACAGGGAAAATCAGAAGAAAAAAATGTCAATGTGCAGAACATATTGCAATAAAAACTGCTGTAATGAGATGATCTCAGTATGGGCATCTAAAATAGAAAATGAATCAGGTATCTAAACAACAACTGGAATGAGATAAAGAAATGGGGTTTGTGAATTGAACCTGGAAAAGAGTGAGAGTAGGCATGACTGAGAGACATTCATCTAAAGGCAGTCTGACTGAAACTTTTCCTTGTTGTTACGGCACAATCTGTGGAGAGCCTATCTTCCTTCCCTCTAGTTAAAAACCTGCAGCTAGCATTTGCATACATGTGTATGAAAATTATGTCAGTAAGATGCAAATCCATAATCTGTGCCAAATATTTTACACATGCAGATGTTACAAATTGTAGAGTTATCTTTACAAAACTCCAGACTCTTCTAGCTGCCTATCTGCAGATATTGTGGATACAACAGGGCCAATATATCTGGTCACTCTTAAAAGTGGTGCCTCTTTACTTCAAAGTTGATGTGAGTTTATACCAGTTTGATAGATATCGAATCCAGAACTACTTTTTTTTCTTCCCCTTATTAAAGATTGATAATGCAGACTTCTTATAAATAAATATTTTTTATTGTCCTAATGATAGTTCACTTTTAATAATCTTACTTAAAGTCTTCTACTTTCAGAAAAATTAGATTTCAGATCTATGCTTATGATAAATCTAATGAATACCTCTCAGAAATACAGACTTTCAAAATGGAGTAAACATTTAAGCTCTTTTTAACATTTAACACAATGCTTGCTGTCTTAAAATAAACATATATTTACAAAGCTGCCTACTACTGCATGTGTTGTTTAAGATAAGGAAATTGAGGCAAGCAGTTGAAACACTTTTCAAAGACTGCTTAGCACATTAGTGGCTGAGCAAGAATCAGATCTTTCTTGACTCATCTGCATGTACCTGAGTATCTGGAATACTATATATCATTATCAGCTTGAAACAGTCTTCAGTTTTTATTATTTTTCAGGACTGTTTATTAATTCTTTGATAGAAATTGACATCTGATTAAATATTTTATTCTGCCTTTGTAGTCTCTTCATATACAAAGCGTGACTTTCTGCCCTGCTAAGTGAGGATTTACTGGGCTAGATGTTGATTCAGTAGGTTGCAAGTGGAGTGGTTGCCCCCTGAGGGTCATATTAAAGCTTGAAGGGAGCTTTTTGAGCAACATTGCATCTTAAAGACAATATATCAACCTGATAGATACATGGCTCTTCTGTTGAGAAATTCACAGTAGAATTATTGCTGGTTGCCAGTTATTACTTGGGTAGTAAGGAGTCTCTCAGGAATATGGATCGGATAAAACGGGTTAAGCTGAGGGAAATGTTACACTGAAGACCTTGGTGATGGGGAGTGTTTGAAATAGTCAAAGGATGTTTTGTGTGCAATTTAGAATTGCCATTTTTGGGGGGAAGTGCGCTGTATTTTTAATGATCAAAATGTGATTAGTTTAACAAAGCACTTTGCCCATTACGACTCAGCAGGGACTAGACAATTTCTTTGTTGTAACCTCCTGCCCCCCTGCTCCATTCCTTCAGAAGCAGAGAACTGAGGACACTCACTAGTGCATAGCTGAGGACATTCTCTGTGAGCAACGTAGGGAAGCCTTTCAGATGAGACAAATTTGCTGTATACTCTAACATGCTGGTTTGAAAGTAGTGGGTTAGGCTGTTCTACGGGTCAGTTGACTTTCACAGAAGAGATTTGTCCAAATTTTCTACTCTTTTCTATGCTGTGCTTTTGTTGGTAGAAGAGATTTGAACATTTAGCTGAGATTACCTAGGCCATTAAAATAACATTCACACTGTGAATTGTTATTGACATTTAGACAGCTACATCTTTGTTTTTTGATGAACATTCCTGTATCGCTATAATAACCACCACTATACATACATAAGGCTTAATCGGAGCCTTTACTTTGTAGATCTCCGAGAGCTTTACAAAGAAGGATAAGTATTATTATCTCCATTTAACAGATTGAGAAATGAAAGACAAAGGTGAAGTGATGTGTCCTGAAAGAACTGGAAATAAATTTAATGCTTTTGCCTCCTCAGTGAGTTGCTCACAGTGTCTTCTCAGCAGCAATGTGAACTTTGGCTTCCTGGCCAATTTACAGCTCAGCTAATTAGATTAATTTTGAAATTTAACTTTTTTTGCTGTGTAGAATTTCTGTGTGCCCGTAAACAAGTGGTGCATTTTAAGCCACAGTTATGGTTTAAATGATATAGTACCCTGCTTTGAAAGGGATATTGACTCTTTCTGATAGTGTCAACTTGTGAAAACCATTTAAAATCCTCTCAGAAAAGTTTTTGCATTAAAAACTGACTGGCTGCGTTAGGGGATTAGGGTTGGGTTAGGGTTAGCGTTAGCATTAGGGTGCTGGTTGGGTTTGCCTGATAACAACTTCAGGAATCACTTTAGAAAGAGTTGTCAAAATAATTCATTATTATCTGCGAATACTGTACTTTACATCCATGAGGTTTAAAACCCCCTTATTGCACAATTTAACTCCAATATTAGTTATGTTGCTACTAAACAGAAAAATGTTAAGTGAGGTAAATATATGTTCTCCATTTTGCTCTGAGGGTGAAATTTAGTTCACATACAAAGGTGTTTGGTGTGCAGATGTTTGTTTTTGATGGCTCAGCTGGAGGGATGTTGGGGGCTGTTCAAGATAAATCAGCCATCTTCTTCCCTCTGAGCTGAGGTGCTCATAAGCTCTTGATTGGCCTTGAAGATGTTGGCAAGGGATTTTCAGACCATGAATTACCTTGTCTCAGACATCTCCTGGATCTGGAAACAGGAAGATTCCAAGTTTACTTGGGATTTACTGAACCCTTATTGCCTAGGTCTAGATAACTGCAGCAGAAGGGAGCATCTGAAGATGGTCAGGGTGGCTCAAGCCCGGAAGTTTTATGTTGTTTTTTTCGTGGTAACAGAGAGAGGAGCGGAAGGGAGTGAGGGAGGCCGGAGATCCTGTTCCACTTCATCTTGTTCTGAAAAATCCAGGAGGGTTGCAGAGCTAGGGAAAAATTCTTAGAAGTAAAATATCTGGTAATAACTCAGGTACCCAGCAGCCAGCTTTCAGTAAAAATTTTTTATGAGAACTGGAAGACCTTAGACTTAAGAGAAAGAAAACAAGCCTCTAAGATTGGTGCAAGACATGTCTTGTGCCTTTATATGTAATACAAGCTGGAGCTGGAGAATTTTAAATTTCCCCAGTCATAAGTATGTATAATCGTGTAAAGCAGCCAGGTGTTAGTTCACATATCTGTGTTTACGTGTCAGTGTAAATAAAAGCTATTGCATGTGACTGATGACTCTTTTCTTGGAGTCAAAGCCATCCTTTCACCTGTTTCAGGGAGAGAATGATTCAGACAGTGTATCAAAAAGTCAGTTACTTTCCTCTTTGTAACCACCTCATATACAGGTGGTAAATGAAAATCATAAAACTTTCTCTAAGATGGTGTTCGCTCATCTTACAACTTATGCCTTCAGGCTTACAACTACACCTTAAGCTACAGATATGTGAGATGCTTTTTTCTGATAGAGAGAAGGAAGAAAATAATAACAACAAAAATTTCTCTTGGAAAGACCAAAGAAAGAAAGAAATGCTAACTATTGTACCATGAAAAGCAAAACTATTATACAAGAGTTTAAATGACAAAGATAGTAACTTTCCACTGTTTTAACTCTCTGGAAAAGAGCTATGGCTACAGACATGCATAATACATAAAAGTTCCAGATGTGTTTATATACAAGAAGTTTCTTCAACAGTTTTCTTCTTAAAGAAAAAACAAAGCCATAAACGGATGGGTGCAAATTGACATAGTTCCTTTTACTACATGCCGTGAAATTTACAGTAGTTAAAGGTCATTGGTGGTATCATTACTGACAGATTTTGCTCTGCAGTTCCTGGACTTCATAAAAATTAATTTCCTTAACAAAGCAGTGCGCTAGAGACTGAGATTTTACTGAATCTATTTTGATTTCTACCTAAAGACCTTATTTTCCCTTAAAATATCTGCTCTTTTCTTTTAAAATTATTATTAATTTATAAGGCTGAGAAGGTATCTGAATGATTACAAGTCTGATCAATTTTACTCTTGCTGGCTAACATTTCTGGAAGCATTTCTTTAGCATCTCAGGGTGGCAGAGCTGGGCACAAGAAGTAGATAATATTTGAACAGGTGGTAGAGAATATGTTGCTTTTGAATTACTTTTGGTGTTTGGAGGTTTGCTTTCAGCAAAACGATATTAATGTAACTGTATTGGAAAGAAGAAAATAAAGAAATTGCATTGTTCAGTAGTGAAAATGTTAAACTAAATGGACCATGTTAACATTGCTGTTGATCCTGAGGAACAGTTTTTCCAGTATATGGAGCATTTTGTTTCCACCCAGCATATGTTGTCCATGGTTTTCTCTGCTCTAATTCATCCATGCTTTTTGACAGCTCCAGATGGCGTGATGCCTCCAAGGCTTTCATCTGCTACTCCAACCAGTCTTCAGGTTGTCTGGTCTACACCAGTTCGCAACAACGCCCCAGGCACGCCCAGCTACCGACTCCAGATGCGGCGGAGGCATTCTGCTGGTGACATTTTAGAGTACGCAGACCATAGCAAGGCCACCATCAACCGCTGAGCAAGAAAAGTCCCATTATCTTTAATATGGCTCACCTTTGCGTTGGCCGGTTTTTTGTTGCAAGACATGTAGTGTTTTAGTCTTTCTTTAGGTGCTGGGATGTTTAATGACATAGTTCATGCTGCTTTTCTTTGCAGTTTGCTTTCCAGCCCTACTGCTTCCCTACAACACAGGGTTGGAGATCTTCAGCCATACACTGAGTATGAGATGAGAGTGGTTGCCTCCAATGGTTACGGCAATGCTTATAGCAACTGGACTTCAATGACTACAGCAGAGGACAGTAAGCAGCCCAATCTTATTTAACTCCCTGTAGCAGAAAATATAACTAACAGTTCAGCTACCATTGCACATCATTTCTCTTCGTTATCTAGCTTTCTCAGTTAAATAGCAATAATGTATTTCCTTCCTGAATATTAACTTGCAATAATAACTCCTAAGGGATCAAGTATTTGTTGTCTTAGATTTTCATAAAACATGAATATTTAAATACACATTTTTTGAAGTAGTATCTTATTTTTTATATAATATCCCTCTATGCATATGTGCCCATATATGAGTATTTTAAGATACACTGATAAGTACAGCTTTGTAAGTGCTATTCCTTTATATTCAAGACTTGATTTTGATTTCAATCATATGAGAGAAAATAACTTGAAGTTAATAGTATATGACTTGTCTTATCTCTATGTTGAGAATACCTAAGTTGTGCCACAAAACTTTTCATTCCCAGTAATTTTTGTTAATTCAAAGTGATGAACAACACGTCTGAAATTGAGTTTGTCATTGTCAGCCCCATCACTTTCCTCATTAATAGTTCTAAGTTCTCCAGGGAGACCTTTTATAGCACCTTCCACTACCTGAAGGGGCTACAAGGAAGCTGGGGGGGACTTTTTACAAGGGCATGTAGTGACAGGACAAGGGGTAATGGGTTTAAATTGAAAGTGGGGAGGTTTAGATTGGATATCAGGAAGAAGTTCTTCCCGGAGAGGGTGGTGAGGCACTGGAACAGGTTGCCCAGAGAAGCTGTGGATGCCCCATCCCTGGAAGTGTTCAAGGCCAGGCTGGATGAGGTTTTGAGCAACCTGGTCTACTGGAAGGTGTCCCTGCCCATGGCAGGGGGATTGGAAATAGATGGTCTGTAAGGGCCCTTCCAACCCAAACCATTCTGTGATTCTATGGTTCTGCAGGCTCACTCCACATAATTTGTTCAATAGTATTTTTTTAAGAAACAGAGCTATTATCTATTATTTGTTTCTTACAATGTAGTGGGCTATCTAATAGCACACATTTTGGAAAAATCTGTTGTTTTCAAATATATTCTTTGCTTCTTTTTGTTTTTAATCAGTAATGAATGACTCCATTGTAACAACTTTTACAGAAACTAAGTATTTTGTAAAGAGATTTCCCCTTTTATATCTTGCTTAATAAGAAAGTAAGTCATTCTGGGCAGGAAAAGGGGTGAGTGTGTGTTTCATTACTGGTTTCATTACTATGCTGCTTTCTCTGCCTTCCTACCAACGTGTGTTGGGCTCTTACTCTATTTCACACTAATATGATATCATAAAATTAACCTCATACTCATATGTAATTGTCATAGCAAATACACAGTTCTAGGGACTCAAGTTCATTTTAGTCCCTTCTCTAGATGGATAGCTATCTTGAAAAAACACACAGAAGAAAACATGTTTCCACAGTTGTATAATATTTTTCTTTGAAGCTGAGCAAATAATTCACAACAGAAATTAATCTGATAAATCTATTTAAGCTCCAAAGCTATAAATGCTTCTCTGAACACATTATCTATATGTAATTACCTAGTAAAAGGAAGTTCTAAACTTGGCCTTGACATACCAAAGATGTTATTTACCTGTGAAAATCTTTGTTGAAAATCAATTCCTGTATTGTAATTGGTTGTTACCAAAAGTGCATACAACATTATCAAACTTGTCTGCATTCATGGTCTAAAAGCAGCCAGTTTCCTATGAGTATTTTGTTCAAACTGAAATGATAATTCAGCTCTGGTCAGACAGTTTACAAAGTGTTTCTTTTTAGAAAGGAGGAGAGCAGAAGTGCATTTAAAATGCACCACTTGTTAGTATATGCAAAAATTATTTTTTGTGCAAAGTAGCAGGTGTAGAATTTTAAAAATCTCTTTTTTGGGAGTTAAGGACAGGACAGAGGACCTACACAGGCTGCGGATTCCTATATAATCTTCTTGAACATATATGTAGAATCTGCCTGCTTTGTAGAACTTGGATGGCCTTTGTGTACCGGAATGACATGCTGCCTTCTGCAAAACCTGGTTGTAAAAATACCTTGTGAGTATGGAAGGTAGATGTCACCAAAGGAAAGTTAAGAACGAGAAAAGAAAAATAGAACACCACTGTCAGTGTTTGTGCAATTAAAATATTTTGACATTAAGAAACAACTCTCCTCTTTAGCTATGATACTTCGTCTGGTTCCTTAGCTTAAAACAAACTTCTGTAGTTCAGTTATGAACTCCATGTCTCCAAGGAGAAAATTATTTTCCTTAAAAAGTCCTCTTCCATTTGCATTTGTACTGCTAAAGAACACACACTGGTGTATCTCCAGTATCCAACAGCCCTTTAATTTACAAAAAAACACGTTCAAAAAACTATATTCGGTGGTGACAAAGGAATCTGGTTTTGGTGTCATTGTGGAGGGCTGCCATCTGCGAAAAGATGTTCAACTCAGTTGCTTAAGACTGAATGATTGTCATTGGGTAAAAGCAGTATTTATGTCAAGGCTTCAATATGTTTATTATAAAACTGCCTGTACTGACAGCTTGTTGCAGAAGTACACTTAATTCCTGGCCCCGCTAACCAATAGACTTTGACTTTTTCAAGTACAATTTGACAGTAGAAATTTTCCGTATCTTACTCTTTTGAAATGTATGTGTGCACACATGTTCCTATTGAATTTTATGCAATGAATATGCATCTTTTTTGTTTCACTAAAGCATAAAATATCTGTAGGAATAATATATATGGGTATGTGTGTGTTTACATATGCATACACCTGATAGTAACAGATGTAAAGCAATGCATCCGCTTTTAAAGTCAATAGAGTTCTATGGATACAAACTGATGAATTTACAATATGTATGCATATTTTATTTATGATAAATATTTAGTAAACCAGAAGGATTTAGGAATTACTAAGGAAAAAATAGCAAAATCTGCCATAAAAATCTGTTGTATCTGATAATACAATGTTTTAATATACAGATTAGTAGGTTTAGGGTACTTTTTAATGCAAGGAAGAATGATGTAAATAATTTTCAAATACTTCTATTTACATGACTGTGACAGCAGTAACTAATTCCATGCATTTTTTAAAGTCTAACGTGCCAGTGCCAGATAACAATAAT